CTACTTTACTGTAAGGAAATAAACTTCTCTTTGTTAAAACCATCCAGTTGTGGTATTTTTGTTATAGCAGCACTAGATAACTAAGACAGATAGTAAGATAGATAGTAAGTAAAATACATAGTATGTTAGATAGTGATGGGTACTAAGGAGAAAGATAAAGAAGGAAAGAAAGATAGGAAGCTTTGGAAAGGAGGCTGAGACTTTTCAATTGGGTGGCCAGAGAAGGCCTCACTGGCAAGGGGCCATCTGAGTCATAACCGGAAGGGATCAAGGGAACGGACACCTGAGGAAGATGAGAGTATCCTGGACGGAACCTCTGAGGACCAGCGATGAGGCCAAGGTGTTGACACAGAATAAACAAGTGGACTGTAAGAAGAAGATGGGACTGAAGAGGTCACAGGGGTTAGATCATGCAGCCCTGGTAGGGGTTCTTTCCTGTGAGTTCTAGGGGACTTTCCTGTGAGTGAGATGGGAGGCCACAGAAGCTTTGGGCAGGGGAGTGGCATCTAACAGGATCCTCTGGCTGCCGAGTTGAAAGCATGGCAAGGCTAGAAGCAAGGGGACCACATTAGCGGGCTTTTGTCCTTTCCTTCTCTACTAGTGGAAACTATTATCACCTCTCGCTTGAGCTATGTCCATAGCCTCCAAAGTGGGCTTCCTACTTCCCTTCCACTCCTGTTCCTCTTTAATCTACCTGATTGAGTGCTGCCAGATGCCTGCTCAGAACTCCCCACTGCCCATTAGGGAAAAATTCAGTGAAAGACAAGAACTCAAGCCTTCACGAGAGGGCACTCCCTTTCCTTCCCAGCCTTATCTCCCAGGCCTCTGCCACATATACCCAACTCACCAACCACAACGCGCTGGTTCCGTGTTTTCCAATATGTCCACACAAGCCTGCCTTCTTGCCTTTGCTCACCCTGCTCCTTCTGCCTACTGAAATTCTCCCAGTCTTTTGAGGTTCATCTCAAATCCCATCTCCTCTATGAAATCTTTCCTGATAACCTCAACTAGATGTTCTCTCATTTCCCTTTGAACCTCCACACCATTGTATCTGTCCTCCCCCTTAGAAAAGGTCTTTAATATATTTTTATTTGTACGTGTCCTTTTTCCCTTAGTGGACTGCAGGCTCTCTAATGGGAGACTGCAGCTCTCCTATGTTCGTATCTGCCACGGCATGGAGTACTGCACCTCGATAGAGTGAATTCTGCTGTTAGGTGTCGTAGAGTCAGTTCCGACTCATAGCGACCTTATGTACAACAGAACAAAACACTGCCCAGTCCTGCGTCATCTTCACAATCGTTGTTGTGCTTGAGCCCATTGTTGTAGCCACTGTGTCAATCCATCTCATTCATTGAGGTCTTCCTCTTTTTCACTGACCCTCTACTCATTGAATTAAATGACATAATCCTCAATCAAACAAAATTCTGTAACTTTCAATGGCTCTTTAAGCCAGTTCATCACCTCAGAGCATCTAACCAGGATTATGAGTGGAAAATGGACTTGACAGCAACCAACAACAACAGCGTGGAATACATCGCACACTAACACAGACAGACAAAAGTCTAGCGGTGAACAATCTGTTATATTTTATGCTAATTATAACGTGATGCAATTTCCCTTAAGAAATTAAAAATAAACATCAAAAAAATAAATAAAATGGTTCTTACAGTTAACTGTCACTAAAAGTTTTCTTTTGGAAAATATTTTAGAAAGATGCCCAATTAAATGTGGAAGACTTTAGAAAGTTGGCCCTCAAACCTCAGGAAGATTGACACACTGAAATAGTTTACACGTTTATTTTTGTTCGGAAGATTGTATGCCGTCGTGCTTCATGGAAAGGTGATGCAGATATACTGAGCAGCCCACTTTCCCCTTCGTGGCGTTTTAGAACAGCCTTTTTTCTGCTAATTTATAACAAGAACCTGGTAACACTGAATCAGATTTTCCCAATGTCTGTCATTAAAATGTAGAGGGGGGAGAGTGGAAAATATAGTGTATTTACCCTGCAAAAGAACTTCCCAAAAGGGCACCATTGGGTATAGCCCAAAACATATTCTCTTCCAGGAAGCAGGAACGGTGTTAGCTGTCTCCTCACCTCCTCTGAAGGAGCTAATATTGGCATCCGATTTCAAATATGAAATAACAACCAAGAGAAAGGGCAAAGGAAAGCATCTGTGAATAAAACTCAAATTCAATTCAAAACAAAATCTCAGCCACCGTTCTTTAATTCAAGACCCTAACAGTGAATCTCCACCTTGTGATGCCTATGATGTCAATGGTGGTAATGACTCCCAGGGATTTAATCTGTCCTTTGGGAAAGCAGATTAAATATTAGCCTGTCATTCCTGATGGGTGATACGAATTACATATTCTAGAGGAAATCACTGTGTGCAAGAAAAACACGAAATAATTTTAAATATGACCCTAATTGAACATTACTTCAGTATCTTTTCTTTCAATTATTTCAATATCTTTTGAATCATTTTTAGCAAAAGGATTTTCACTATAATCCTATTAAAATAGTACCTCTTTCTAAGAGAAGGAACTGTCTCTTAAAAGTTCCAGTCCAGATACAGTTAGAGAATCCAGTACAAGTGTAAGTAATAAAATGAGCCAATTCCTGTTCCTAATCAGAGGTCTGGCTGTAGACGTAGAATCGGTCACCATAATTAAGGCAAAGGGTGAAAAGGCTGAGAATTCATCAGAAATACTGACAATGAAATCAGAATAGAAACAGACTGTATAAACCAACTATCCATCACAGTCAACAGACGCCACTACTTCCTTCTTTTATAATATCCTGAACCATCAAACTGAACACAGAAAAGAAGAAGAGCAATCCTTAGCCGTACAAGAAGATATGCAATAACACTGTATATAGATTCCATTCTGAAAAATACTTTACAAGCCTGTGATGGCTTTTATCAATTCTGAACCTGCATGTCTAAATGTGGGTTCCCCAGAAGCAGACCCTGAGGCAAGGATTCAAGCTTGACTGTTCAAGTAGTTCATTTGGGGAGTGCAGGAAGCCCTGGGTGGGACTTGGGGACCTGATGTATGGGAAGAGAGGGCAGCCTAAAAGGACCTGAGAGGTGAGGGAGCTGGGGTAATTAGCAGTCATTGGTTAAGGCTGCTGGGGTGGAGAGGAGGCCAAAACCAGTTGCCATGGAGTCGACTCTGACTCATGGAGACCCCATGTGTGTCAGAGTAAAACTGTGCTCCAAAGGGTTTTCAAAGGCTGAATATTCCGAAGTAGTTTGCCAGGGCTTTCTTCCAAGGTACCTCTAGGTGGACTCGAACCACCAACCTTTCAATTAGTCGCTGAGCACGTTAACCATTTGCACCGTCCAGGGACTCTGGATGGTGGCCAAAAACAAACAAAACAAACCCATGCCTGTTAAGTTTCTGCTCAGTGCAATGCCACGTGTTACAGCGTAGAACTGCTCCACAGGGTTTTCTTGGCTGTAATCTTTATGGAAGCAGATCACCAGGACACTCTTCCAGGGTGCTGCTGGGTGGGTTGGAACTGTCAACTTTTAGGTTAGTGGTCAAGTGCAAACCATTTGCATCACGCAGGGACCTTGGGAGGGGAGGCCAAGGGGTACTAATTCCTTGGCACTTGAAGCCTGCTTCCAGCAGGAGCCAAGCAGTTTTCCAAGGTTTTGGAGAAAGTAGCCAGTCAAAAGATGTGGGTACTAGCATTTGGTGGGCCTCTAACATGGAAGCAGAAAGGTCTTAGAGTATGGATAGGGCACTGAAAGCACTGGGCTATAATGCATCCTCGAACAAAACAAACTCTCTTCCCATCAGCACTTGTATGTTTGGTTGCTATTTGATTTCAATCTTCTCTCCCTTTTTTCTGCTATATAATTTCTTCCTGCTACACAATGGATCATATAGCTCACATTCAAGTCATCTTCTAAGCTATGAAATACACAATTTTATCTTACCTATGTCTTTATCTTTCCCTTTGAGTCTACTTTATATTCTGCATAAATTAAGATGTTAGGTCTATTTCTGGCTTTAAATTCTTTAACAAGAACCTTGCTCTCAACTGAGTTGTAAAAACAATCTCTCCTTTGATATGGCTACTAGCTACAATGGTACATAATACATCCGTGAAAGATGATGGGCTGGATATTCACAGACATAAAGTAGATCAACCTTTACCCAGGATGAGGGGATGCGGGAATGGGGAGTTATTGCTTAAGGAGTGCAGAGACTTTGTTTGGGATGATGGAAAAGTTCTGGAAATAAATAGTGGTGAAGGCTGCATGTCATGGTGAATGTAATTAATGCCACTGAATTAATTAATAATTAATTAAAATGGCAAACATTATACGTACATACATATATGTATATTTTTACCATAATGAAAAAATTTTTTAATAAGAAAAAAAGGATGGGTTGGCCCACACAGTAAAAGCTCAGCTCATGATAGCACCCAGAAGTCTTAATGCTGTCAGAGGATAAGAAGTAATTCTGGTAGTTCCCAAAGTACACATGAACAATAAATAATTGGGGGAGACAAAGAAGCCAGATCTAAAACTAACTATAAGGAAGCCTTTTCAATGAAATGTCATTTCACGTGCTTTGAACAAATACGGTCTTTAGAAATGGTTCAATCTGACCATCATTGTTCTTATGTTGTAGGAACAGGTTTATAATACGTTAGTAACCTAGTTCTAGGCCTTACTGTGTATACAATCAAAGAGAGATTATAATGTGCCCAGGGAAATTTTACCTAAAACAACCTTGACTGATGTAAGCACTTGACAAATATTATGCTTCATAATGTATATAAAAAAATCAGTTCAGGGAATTCAGGAAATAGAGTGAAACTAACAGAAGTGCAGCATTTAACAGTTCTTAGATCCAAGAGACTTATTTCCACTCAGATATCATATGGGATGCTGAACAAAGACTGCCTCGTTAAGATTTATGCAAATTATTTAGGTTTTATACTGCCTGATCTAGTTTTAATAAAATCATTATATGTAAGAGAAATAAAAATGAAAAAATTGGACACTCACTGGGACTTTCTTAGTGTTTTTACATTGGTGTAGGAGGCCCATCCCTGGCTAGCCTTCTCTCTGGCTGCTTGCAAGCATTCAGAGAGGCACTGTGGAGTGAGCCTCCGGTCTGGTGGAAGGTTTTACACTTACGTAAGCATCAGACCACACTATCAAATCCACTGTTTCCTCAAACAATCCGTTAAACAATATAATAAATATTTTAAAAATCAGACATCTCTAATCACAATAAATGATATGTATAAACATCTGCATCTTTATGATCTAAATCAGTGCTTCCCAAACTATTTGTGATG